GTTCCTAGTCCATCTCCCACTAACCCCCTCCTCCCACCCCCTCTCCCGCCCCCCTTACCCCCTCCCCCCCTTCCCACCCCTTTCGAGAGCGCCCGACAGAGCGTGCATTTTTAAAAGTACGGAAAGAAGCAGAAAGAATAGATGAGAGAGAGAGAGAGAGAGAGAGAGAGAGAGAGAGAGAGAGAGAGAGAGAGAGAGAGAGAGAGAGAGAGAGAGAGAGATAAAGCTAAAGAGTCAGAGGGATTTACAGAGAATGGAAGAAATGAGAGAGAGAGATAGAGAAATAGACAGACAAACAGAGAGAGTGAAAGAGGAAAAAGAAAAAAAGAAAATAAGATAGAGAGAGAGAAAAAATCCACCGAATTATTCTTCATCGCTAAGGGACAGATAGTTAATATTAATCTTAAACTTTGCGGCAGCCACGGCCCGGACGCCGAATACTAAGTAAATAAAATGCGTAAAATAATTGAAGGGATGGACGGTTTATTGTGGAGGGTGAAACTTTGGAGGGAACTGATTATAATATTGTCTTTCTCGGGACGGGGGGCGAGGGGAAGAGATGGAGAGGGGAGGTTGAAGGGGAAGACCCGGAGGAGGGAGTAAGAGGACGGAGGAGAGAGGGAGAGCGAAGGAAGGGGAAAAAAAAAGTTATATATTCCGACCGAATTCAGTCTGGGACGCAGGTAGCGAGTCGAGCGAGCGAGCGAGAAAAGCAGGGTTGGTGGGCGGTGCATGGAAGGATGGGCGGGCTGAAGGAGGGATGGAGGGCTGGTTGAGTGGGCGTCCTACGGTAAATGATGATAATAGCAATAATAGAAATAATAATGATAATGATAATAAAAAAGGGAAGAGGAGAAAGGAGAATATGTAAGAAATAAGATGCAGCCACCAAATCAAGACTTATATCTTATTATTTACAGCCATCACCTCGCTTATCAGAGAAGGAAAACACTCAGTGTCACTCTGCTCTCTAAGTGTTTAATTCAACAGGATTAGATGGGTTTTCAGCTGTACATGACAGGAGATTTCTAAGTGCATGGTCGAGTGTTTGCTTAGTTCGTGATTGCATTGATTATGGTGTCTAATGCATGTACGCGGTGTATATGTGATTACAAGGCATAGGTGTTGTAATTATGGAAATTTTTGTACTGTACCTCTAGATGCTTTATAAAAATGATTTTGTTTCTTATTGTGATTATTGATATATAGGTTTGTAGATGAATGACTTATTTGACGTATAAATAATCAAGTTTGTAAGTTTGTATTTTTTTTCACGATTTTAAACACGCGAGCGTTTGACTACTAATCGCCTCAAAAATCACCTGTTTTTACGTATGACTGGACTTCGAGGCCGACAAAGTTGAAACAAGATAGTCACTCGTGCCTTAGTGAGTTGGGGGGGGGGGAGGGGGGATGCCCGCGGCGAAGCTGTGTCGGGAAATCTTAATGCGACGTCCTTGGAATTCGGGTGGCTCTGGCCGCCGTGTTTTCTGTTCTTTTTTTCTTATTTTCTGATTTCCCCCCCCTGGTTTTTTGCTTTCTTCGTCTAGCTTTCTCTTTTCTCTTTCCTCCGTTCGTTTCTGTCCATCCATCTCTGTTTCTCTTTCTAAAGAAAATAAATAACAATAATAAATAAAATGAAGAAAAAAATGTACTAAATATGTGTTATATAACTTTACATTATATCTATATATACCTATATATATATATATATATATATATATATATATATATATATATATATATATATATATATATATGTATATATATATACACACACACACACACACACACACACACACACACACACACACACACACACACACACACACACACACACACACACACACACACACATATGTATAAATATCTATGACTGCTGCGATGGCCCAGTGGTTAGAGCACTGGACTCCGGCCCTTGTGGTCCTGAGTTCAATCCCCGTCGCGGCGGTCGTAAAAATGCCTGCGCTCTGACTGCTGGCTCGAGCCCGAGAAAACGACATATCGGCTTGAGAAGTCAAACGCAGGTGTCGTAGGGGACGTCACCGCCGTGGCACAAGTGTTAACGCGCCGAACGACGGTTGATTAGGAAGGGCATCCAATCAGGCAAGGGTGACACCGCCATATAACCTCTCTACTGAATTGAGAGACGCCTGCAGTGGAATGAATGGCTGTTGAAAAAAAAAATGTATAAATATATATAATGTTATATAATATATATATGATATATATATGTATATATATATATATATATATATATATATATATATATATATATATATATATAGAGAGAGAGAGAGAGAGAGAGAGAGAGAGAGAGAGAGATAGAGAGAGAGAGACGCATATACTTATGCGTGTTTATGCTTATGTGTGCATGCACTGTATAAATATAGGTGTGCCTTTATTAAATCCTCACGGCGAGCACCGAATGAAGACCTAACAGCCTCGTTTCCTTCCAGGCTGGCTGTGACGTACGCCGCGACATCTGAGTTTCCAGGAGGTAAGTAGCTTTTTATAACCCTAATCTTCAGTAGAAATAGGAGTTTAGACACAGTGGAATGTTCAATATCTCATGGTCTTTCTTTTTTTCTTTGCTTATCATTATCTATAATATATATCTAAATATGGTTTTTGATGCATAATACATAATAAATATCTGGAATCATATTCCACTTATCTTCGGACTTGAACTCAGTTGTTATTATCATTATTATTATTATTATTATTATTATTATTATTATTATCGTTATTATCATTATTATTATTTATTATTATTATTATTATCATCATCATTATCATTGAAATTGTCTATGCACACTTATTATTTACACGACTATCTGAAGGAAGAAGTGAAGAAGGAAGGTAGGAAGGAAAGGGGAAGTGTAGGGATAGGAGAAAGGGGGAGAGGGAGATAGGGAGAAGAAGGGCGCTTAAAGAGAATAGTGAAGTGAGAAGGAGGGAAACATGAAAAATGGAAAAAGGAAAAAGGATAAGGGAAAAAGGTAAAGGGAGAGAGGGAGAGAAGGAGATAAGGGAGCGAAGGAGGCGGGGAGTTGGAGGAGGAAGAGGAGGGAAGTGGGAGGAGGCGGATGAAGGGAGGGAGGAGTGAATTTAAGGAAGATTTAGGAATGCGATGGGGCGGCAGAGGGAGAGGGGGGGGGGGGAGAGGAAGAGGAAGAGGGAAATGGAAAAGACAGAGAGGATACGAAAGGTAAAAGGAGGTAGGTGAAGTAGTAGTAGTAATAATGATGATAATGATAATGATAATATTGATAATAATAATAATAATAATAATAATAATGATAATGATAATGATAATGATAATGATAATGATAATGATAATGATAATGATAATGATAATGATAATGATGATGATTATGATATTAATAATAATAATAATAATAATATTAATAATAATAATAATAATAATAATGATAGTAAAAATAATAATGAAAATGATAGAAATGATTATAATAGTTACAATGACAATAATGATAATGATTATAATGAAAATGATAATAGCGATAATAATAATAGAAATAATAATGATAATATTGATGATAAGTGGGGGTAGGTCTGTTGGTTTGATGTTACGAGATCGATACTGGATTAATCTCTGTCTTTAATTCATATTTGATGGTCTTCATTAAGTTTCGTTGATTCTTATGTTAATTGTTGGCTTAGCGTTTCGTTCTTTCTTTCTGTTTTTTTTTCTTCTTTTTGCTTATATAAATCATACTCATAAAAGAAATATTTTCTCGGTTTGCATAATTTGATGAAATATTGCGACCAAAGAAAAAGTAACATACTCTTAATCATTTACTAAATTCCGATAGAGATAAAGAAAAGAAAAGAAAAGAAAAAACTAAGAAATATATTGATAGATCTCAATCACAGAATTTCTGAATAGACTATTGCACAATAATACGTATTTGTGCAATGCCCCTCTCCCCATACCCTACTCCCCCACCCCCCCAGTCTGCTCCTGAATACACGGCACTTTACCGTAATTTGCTTTTAAAAATTCTCAAAGTGATTGCTAAGTGGAACATTTGTTTAGAGAGGACCCACAGGCAAAGGACAACTCGTTAGGTTTTGATTGATTTGTCTGTCTGTTGTCTATCTATTCATTTATCTGTGTGTTTGTTAATTGCATTTGTTCATTTTAATTTCTGAGAGATATTATATTTGTGCTGAACACTTGCCCATTTTTTTTTTTTTTTTTGTATTCGAGGGATGCTTTTCCTGGCGTTTGGTGTGTATGGGTTGATAGATAGATGGATAGATGAAGAGATGAGAAAGATAAACAATTAGATTAAATGGATAAATAGGTAGATACTCTGATAGACAGATAGACGTTAAGCGCAAGGTTATTTGTTTCTCTCTCTCTCTCTCTCTCTCTCTCTCTCTCTCTCTCTCTCTCTCTCTCTCTCTCTCTCTCTCTCTCTCTCTCTCTCTCTCTCTCTCTCTCTCTCTCTCCCTCTCGGTCCATTAATGTAAAGATTCTCCTCTCCGCCGTCACACAAAAGACAGAATTTATCTAAGTGACATTAGTGAAAGACTTCCAAATTAAAAAGTCTGACTCACTAATTACCTGTTTATTCTGAAAAGTAATTTGCTGATGAACTTGTTACGACTGTATAATGAGACTGGAGACACTATTAGAAAATTAAAAAATGTAATTGTTATTTAATGACATTCTATATATTATGTTCCAACTTGCTTTGCTATTTTATGTCGCCCCATATCCTCCAAGGAGTAATGGGCCTTATTGCACCTGTTCCCAAGGGTGGCTGATATTGTTTCATTTTAATTGATACACAAAGGCAGAAGAGAAGAAAATAAGATAAGATATAGAGTATTAAGCTGATTTTTCTTGCAATTATTGTTAAGATAAGGTGAGTTATATGAATGTTTATTTGTTTATTTTTCGTTTGATGTGATATAACACCAAATCATTGGTTATCGGGATGAATAGGATCGTTATTATTTTGGGTTTT